CCTTTCGGCGTAGGGGCATTAGCAATTGCCGAAATCTTTTCATCCGTTTTATGCAATCCATCGGCATCAATTTTATGCCCTAAAAATTTAATCTCATTTTGAAAGAATTTACTTTTAGTTAAGTTTAATTTTAGGCCGTGCTCCTTGCATTTTTTGAAAAATATTTCCAATGCTTTTAAATGAGACTGATCATCCTGTCCTGTCACTCGAGCATCATCCATAAAAATTTTAATTCCTTCAATCCCCTGAAATAATCCCTCAACATAGCGCTGCCAAATAGCTGGGGCAGCATTTAATCCATACATTAAGCGTTTACAAATATATAACCCCTTATGTGTGTTTATTGTTAATAACCATTGGCTCTCTGGATGCACCTTCATTTGTAGATAAGCATGACTGAAATCAAGTTTCGAAAAATTTTTACCTCCATTAAGGCTCGAAAATATTTCTTCGAGTTTTGGTAATGGATGCTGTGGCACTTCCAAATTAGGATTCAGAGTCACAGAATAATCAGCACAAAGGCTAATGGAACCATCAGATTTAACAATTGGCACAACAGGCGTTGCCCATTCTGAAGTCTCAACCCTCTCAATGATACCTTCTTTCTCAAGCCGATCAATTTCTGATTCAACTCTATTTTTTAATGCGAAAGATACCAGTCGTGATCTAAAAAATATTGGTTGAGTATTAGGTTTCAAATTTAGTTTGAGTGATTGTTATTTATTCTTCGTGATTGTTAATCTCACCTAAATTACCCTAAAAAATTTCCTTATACTCCTCAAGCAATTTTTTTAAATTCAATTCACTAGAAGTTTTCAATGCTTTGATGGCATTCCAATCAAGATTGATTTTATACAGCCATTCTCGGCCGAAGATCATGTCCAAATTTTCCTTCACAATGTATAGATTTAAAACTAATTTTTGACCTTGGTATTCAACTTTAACAGGAACATATCCTAAAGGTACCACCTTATCACCCCTGTAAGTTTTAAAAACTAAATTGGTAGGCTGAATCTTTTTATTGGAAATTTTTCTAAATTTATTTATAGACATTACCGAAACTGTTCCCCCAGTATCAAGTTCCATGCTAACTGGTTTGTTTTCAATTTTAACTTGAAGCATTATTGGCGGTCTTTTTGGCTCTTCCTCTCTTAACATGTGCATTCTGGAGTTAAATCCATAGATGGGGACCTCATTTTTCGAATCATAATCATTATTTGCCTCAACTTTCTTTTGTTTAACCTGTCGGTTTTTCCTAGACAAATAACACGCCTTTTCGATATGTCCAATTTTTTTACAAAAGCGGCATTCACTTGTTGCAAATCTACAGTTGTTTTTATTGTGATTTGCTCCTAAGCAACGCGAAAACAAGTTTCATTTTTACCTTTATTATTCTTAGCAACAAAGTTTTGTTTCTGCGGTTTGGACTTATTTTTCTTGGTTTTAAGTACCTTTAGTTCTATGGAATTTCCTATAATCTCATTTGCACCCTTAACCGCGTTTTCCATCGCCAAGGCTATCTTTAATGTTTTCTCTAAATCGATATCATCTTCCTGAAATAATCGATCTAAGATATTACGATCTCGTAGACCGCTAACGAAAACATCCCTTAACATTGTATTTAGCATATCCTCTTTATATTCACAAGGAATTGCTAACGAGCGTAATTCAGTGACATAACTACTAATTGATTCCCCCTCATGCTGTTTTCTATTAATAAACATGTGCCGACTAGGTATTATTAAAGCTTTAGGATTTAAATGATCCTTAAGAACCTTTTTTAGTTCGGTAAAATTTTTATCTGAAGGATTATCCAGAGAGAGTAAATTTTTCAACAAATTATACAATTTCGCATTCAAGTTTGAGATCAGAACTTTCCCCTGTTTTGCCTCTGGAACATTTTGAATGTCCAAAAAAGCCTCAAATCGTTCTATGAACGAATCAAAATTTTCTACCGTTTCATCGAACTTATCAAAAGAAACAGAAATTTTGTCTTGTTTATGTTCCAATTTCTCTTGCAGTGAGACCATTAAAGCTTCATTCTGCTTTATCAATTCTTCAATTAACTTCTCCATCCTTTCAAAATAAAAATCAAATAACGTTCCTACCTTTTGCAGTTTTCGGGGAATCCCTAAATCCAAGTTTCGGTTTTGCTACTACTTTATGCATGTAACACAGTGCGCCGAGTCGGGAACGATTTGCTTCTCATCCCATCCTCATCGCCAACTTGTTGTGTCTAGCGGTGTGGGTTCAGTGAAGTGCATGACGCAACCAAAACAGACTGGTTCACGGCACAAACATTTATTTCTAACTAACTCATAAGACAGCAGCGATGCGCTATTTATGCAGTTACATTACATTCTACTCTACTCTCGTTCACAGAGGTTCTCGGGTATAAGAGTAATGATACTCTCGAAATCAGATGCTACAGGGCTGATGGAGTTTCATCCATAAAAGATCCTAATAATATCAATACACCACTGCCTGAAAAGTAGTGATAACTTGTAGTAGATAATACAGTCATATCTTACAATCTAGCTTAGGAGCAAGGGTGAGTGGCAATACCATAATACCTGCCACATCAACTTTTTTCCCTACTAACTGTTGAGCTTTGTGCCAATCTAATATAAAGACTGACCAATCAGAGTAAGCAAACACATATTGATACTCAATCTACAATATCATTAAGTCACTTCCACATTCATTTTCCTTAAATATTTATTGATGGTTTGAGGCCAACGGAGTAGCACAGATTACAATAAGAATGGGTGAGATATAAGTTAAGGGAAGCGGAAATGAAGATAACTTATTAGATATTGCAATGTTAATATTGCTATACATTCATACTGGAATATAGTTTTCTTTCAAAGAAATAAATTGTGATAGTTATCTGTAGTTTATTCATGACTACTTTGGTTCTTAAGGTAACCGCATTCTAAATTAAATTATTCACAGAATTTTTCCCTTCTTGAGTTTTGGACAGTAAGTAAAAAAGGAGAATATACACGAGGAAATACGGCAAATTTCTGCATATACCGAATGAAGATATTTGCAGAGTCACAGACTGTTTGCCAAGTGGCTATTACTTCACCTGCACATAATGGTACAGCACAGGTGCCTGAAGCTAAAAATTAAAATGGTGCACTGATTGACTCATATGAATTCAAGAATGATAGGAAATGGCCTTTTCACACTAAGCCCACTTTTTCATGCAGCAATGTAACGGTGGAGTACATGAGTGTTGGTACCATGGGGATTAAGTGTTGGAGTTGCCATTATATATCTTCACACTGGACCAGCATCAAGATTTTTCAATAACACTCCATTAACATAATTTTTAAAAAATATTAAGTAACATGCAATGAATATGAAATAACTATGATCCAAAAGGCAGAGATAACAGTTATTAACTGAACATGGGGAGTTTAAAAGCATTTAAACTATAATTAATTATACTTTGCTTTACTCTTAACCCTTTCCAGTACGCTACCTTTTAATGTTGGAATTTCAGCTTAAAAAATGGTAGGCAGTCTAATCCCGTCTAGAGGAGTACACAGAAAAAATTTTGTAAACACAGCACTGACCGTTTTAATTCTGTGGATGTGCCCGAAGTGGGCTCACTGAATGAATCTTCAAAATGAGTAGGCTCTCACTGAATGAAACTTCAGAAGGAGCACTGAAATGAACATTGTTGGGAAGCCCATAATAGATTTAAAGACTTTGATTAAAAAACACCAGATTCTGATTACTGTACTAGATTTAGGATTACCCAGGGTACACCACAGGGAGGCCTGCTACTCTACAACTCTCCCCCAAAGAACTTCTTGGTTATATGATGATTACATGAGTATAAATGAAAAACATTAACTTGGCTGTATGATATTTAAATCATTTATTATTTTTTAATTTTTTTTACTCTTTCATCTATTAATAAATTCGATCATTGGCATCTGAATGGCCACTCAGTTCAGCAATGTAATTTTTGGTGTTACTGCTCTCCATATCTAATTTACCATCTGTAGGCAAATTAGTTCAGCATTTTCAGCGCTTCAGAAATGGTCAACCTTCTCCGATCCAGTTGTAAATTAATTAAAAATCAGAAAAGTAAAGTAATATTATATCTATAATTAACAAAATATAAACTATAAAACTAATAAGCATTTACAACTCAAAACGATCGAAACGTAGAGCTAACAAAGCTTCTTTCAATTAAAGCAACAAACATTCCCTCCAAAAAAAAAAAAAAAAAAAAAGGAAAAAAGAAAAACAGGAAATGAAACACACATTTTCACCCACCATTCTGTTATGAATGGGATCAATGAAGGGAATATACTGTAGTGAAACAAAGGTACAGTTGTTGGTCTGGTCCTGGTATTTCAGTTATCTTACTCTGGGCACACCAAATGGTCGTCATTCGATTTTACGCAAAATTTCAAGGTAAGAATTTAAAACTAATATAAAATATCAGAGATCAGAATACAGCCAAGAAAATAACATAGAAATTTCTTTTCAATGACATAAAAATATCTTTTCAAACAAAATTTCTTTTAGATCCTAAAAAAAGCTAGAAGATTTCTTTGAAAAATGACAGTCTTTAAAAACTAAACATGGCTGAAAATTAATGGACTTGTTTGTGTTGTGCCTCCATCTTATAAAGTAACAGATACCTGAAGTAACCTATATAAAGCAACACATTGAAATTCTGTGTGTGTACAGAGGGAATTTTTTAGGTGTGCCACATCGTGCTGGAAAGGGTTAATATGATTATTTGTTGTCTCTTCAGCTACACTGCACTGTATTTCTTCCCCTTGAAATGGCAGCTAAAATTTGATTTTCAGAAAAAACAATTTGATATAAGTAGAGCGAATTTGAAAACAGGCCAAGTAAGAACAATATTATGTATTCTAATACCAATTTGATATAAACAAGGAATTTATTTCCTAAATCTTAAAATGAATAAAATACATGGGTTTACTCAATTTAACTAAATAATCACTTACTTATTTAGAGTTGATGCTTCTTTCAGTTCTTTATGCATATCAGCTCCAAAATGATCCCAATCAAAACCTGAATCTCTATTCAAAATATCCACCAAGCTCTGGGCACCGAGAAGCTGTCCTTTAGAATCATCTTTGCAAGGTATCTCCCAATGGCAGAACTAAATAAATGAAAATGTTTAAAGCACCAATAAACAAAATAACAGATCATAATGCTAAAAATGATACTAAATTTTTCTGTGTTGCAGAAAGGAGAAGAAATTTTTGCTTCAGTTGTTCTTGGCAACTAAAATCAGGTGTTTTTTCAATCTGAGAAATTTGCATGCAGCATCAGGAGATAATTTGCTTTTATATGGTGAATCCTGAAGTCACTAGCATTTACTACTACACATAAGTAAACACTTCAAACTGATAATTACATTATGATAACTCAAATTATTTTGGAGAAAATTAATACAGCACTATAAAATTTCATTGAGAACTAATTTAGCTGCTCTGCATAAGACATCATAAATAAACATCCTACATAATGCACCCATTTACATTCTTCATATTTAAGATTTTTCTAGAGGTTTTTATCTATAGTACTGTGGTACGATAAGGCACAATTAGTTTTCTAACTTGTTTGTAACCGCAAATTGTTCATTGAAATAAAAATATGCAATCTGTCTTGGTTGCCAAGTTTCCTATTCATTACAGATTGACATCAGTATCCATGCAATCCTAATTCCTACATCATTCTAAGTCTGCTTCATACATTGCCTTCATGCTAAGTCTGCCAGACATACATGTATATGTAACAAATTGGTAGGATATGAATGTCTTATAAAAATAAAATTTATGTTTCTTTAAAATAAATAAAAAGTGCATACCTGACTAGAGGAGTTAAGTGTGTCATTCCATAACTCTCCACAAACTTTATCTTTACATTCATTGTCTTTTGATGCCAGTTTCTCTCTAGATTTTGTTTTGCTTTTATCTGTTGCAACAGTAGGTTCCTTCTTCACATAACCTTTAAGTCTGTCTTCTCTCTCCTGTTTTATATCTTTCATGGAAAGTAATGTAGATGCAGTAGTTTTTAACCTTTTTGCATCTGCAGCAATTCCAGATTCTTTCAATTTATCCTTTGTGGACTGATGCAAAACAAAAAAACAAAAAAAAAATTATGTGTAAAATGTTAGAAATACATCTGCATGGAAAACCACATGCAACATATATACATGCCACAATTTACACACTATTTCTCAAGTACTTTCCTTTAGCATTTTCAGCATATAATTTTTAAAAAATTTATGGTGGCAATGTACAATTCATTAAAGCACATTCTGTAAATAAAAATAATAGTATTAAAAATATCAATTACAACTTCTTTAAAATATCAAAAGTAATATTAGTACATCTATTCTTTTCTTATCTAATGCATTTTATTCTCGTAAACTTTTCCTTTATCTCCTCAAAACTTATATAAATTTCATAATTTTACTTCTTTTAATTTAAAAGGTAAAATTAATAAAAAAGTGCAAGTAAATGTGTTTCATTGTAATACTTCAGTAAACTCAGTACAAAGTACAGGTTATTAAAAACTTCAATCAAAGCTCCTAGATCAGTAATATCACAACTGATATTCAGAACATATTTTAAAAATCATCAGTAAATAATAACTAATCCATGAACACATTCATAAAGTGGAAAGATATGTTTCCCAGTCTTCTCATGAAAACAGCATATGCATTACCCATCAATAATAACAATAACACTATTGTCAAAGCTGACTTTCAGAAACACCAAATTTATTACCTGGAATACTAAAATGACTAAAAAACTGTCAACAGTCTATCAGGTTTTTTGAATAAACAATATTTATACAAAAGTCAAAGCTTTCTATGAGTTAAATGTACTAACTAAAAATATTAATAAATAACAATATAGATTTAAGTTTATCAGCAGGAAACTAGCAAAGCTATATTTGATCTTATCAGCAGGAAACTAGCAAAGCTATATTTGATAGCTTAGCTAAACTAAGTAAATCCTTCCATTACAAGCATGAAAGGATTTACTTAGTTATTTAGAAGGACTGCATATGTAAATTGGTGCATTCTATGTGAATATGCATTATCGCCTATCAGCAGCATAAAGACACAGTTCAATAAAGTGAAGACTTTTGTAATAGTTTTACCCATTCTTCCACTTGGTAACGATTTGGCCATTTAACGCAAATATTAACTAGAGCTAAACTGTAGTTAGACTGACAGCAAATTATCGCTAAGTCTCAAAGTTAATGACTGAGTCTTAGGAAGGTTTTTAAAACAAATCTTTTTATTACATCAGAACTTGAATATAAATACATATCTCATGCTTACAACTCAACGAACCACACGTGGTGAGGTAACTTAAAATAACAATTAAATGTAAAATTTAAATTCAAGTAAGCTAGAAGCTGAATCTACACAAATGAATTTAACATGAAATTGCCTCACAAAACCTAGCCAATGTAGATATTAAAATATGAGCAATTATAATGCAAATCCGAAGATTATAAATTTTATTCAAGCTAGAAGCCAGAGCTTAAATTGCACTGAAGCCCAGTTCTGGTACTTCTTAGTTTTGGGAATAAATCATAATTCTAACTAGAGCACACCACAGCCTTAAATAAGAAGGCACTGGGCACTTTTTATGTAACTGAACAACAATTTCAGTAGACATTTGATCTCGAAAATTTTATTTTTAGCAATAAAATTATTAAAAAAATTATTTGATCATTTGGAAAAAGATGTCTTTAGAGGCAGTATATAAATGAATGAAAACTACAGTAAAACTTTGCATGTACTATAACATTTTATACAACATTCCCTGTATGACATTTTTATTCCTGTAACTGCCAACAATTAATTTTTGTGTTTTTACTCTATTTTTGCATACTTTTTATGTGTATCTACAGAAATTGATGTTTGAATGTAGTTATTTTAAGTTTAGAGCCAGAAAAGTTCCAGAAAACCACAGTTTCCAATCGAAGCATGGAATTATTATGAAGCAGCTTTCACAAGGTACTAAATTCATTATTTAATTGTAGTTATGCCAGTATGTGGTTTTTATTTGACGGAATGAAAAAAGATTTAGCCTGTCAACATTTATTATTAGCCATTGTAAATACATGGTGTACTGAAGTAAAAAAAAAAAATTAAAACTTACATTTAGTAATTGTGAATCATGTAAGAAACTATGATGAAACCGATGATAAAATTAGATATTTACATATACAGTCAAAAGTCGTTAATTCGGACACCCATAATTTGGAATGATCTATAATCCGGACCTTAAAACTTAAAAACTTTCTGCTCATGCGCCGCGTTGACACATGCACATAGGCATTTACATGTGCACGTAAGACCTTTTACGACTGCGCATATGAGTGTGCGCAAGCGCAGAATACGTTTTCGTGTGCGCGTTTCATGTATAACGGACGGTATAAGCTAAAATTATCTAATTATCGATTTCAGTTAATGTTGATGATTGTGTTGTTGCTTAATTTTCGAACTGGATCCGGCTTATTATTTTTTGCAGACTGTAAGAGCAATACTATAAAAGTAAACTTGAACTTTCGATTATGTCAAATAGAATTTCCGATTCTGGAGCTCCCAAAGGATCGTACAAAATGAAAGTATGTTTCGATTTTCATCAAACAAAAAGTGGAATTGCTGCAAAAAATGGATAAAGACATGAAGAATGTGACAGAGAGGTTAGTGAAAACGAAAAATTTCGATTCACAAGTTAGTCGGTATTCTCGGCACAGCAATTAATGGGACTTGAACAGCAGAACTTTGTAACTGAACAAGAAATTATGTCTGTTTATAGACTTAAAGAGAAAGTATTATCACATAAAACGAAGCAACTTACATTGAAAGAAATGTTTAATAAAGTAAACAAATAAATATTAAGCTTTTTTTTTTTTTGTAAATTTTGATACCCTTTAGATCATAATTGTTCTTTATTTCATAAATTACGGTTTCATATTTTTAATTTTAGAATTTCTGCATGCCATCTTACGAGATTAAACTGATGATCTATAATCCGAAAAAATCGATAACCCGGAATCGCCGAAGTCCCGACGAGTCCGGATTAACGACTTTTGACTGTATTAGCTAATATTCAGCACGTTTATGTATTTATAACTTTTTGAAATATACATTTATGATTTATATATAAAAAGGTATTTTATGTAATTTAAGTAAAATAATTATTTATGTTTGCTTATTCTTCTAAACGTTTATATTATAAAATGTGTAACTTATATTTACTATTATTTTATTTCTTTAACAATTTTTGTAATAATTTCTCACTGTATATTCCGGTTTCATTTTTCATCCTTCTTTCTCTCCTTTTTCTAATTCAAAATGGCCCATTTGTAAATCTTGTATAGCAACTGAATATACATATAAGTTATACAGTTTTAACATATACAATATATACCATAGATGTTTTGGTGTATATATATATATATCATATAATTAAAATAATTTTTCTTTGAACAATTCAAGTTGGTGTACGATGTTCAAATCGATTAATTATTGATTGATTAATCAGAGGATATTTCTACATATTTTATTTATCAGTAGGCTTATTTATGTGAGCTATCAAATATAGCTATGTGAGCTTTTTTCCATGTGAGCATATTTCTAAGTGAGCATTTTTCCATGCGAGCTTTTTTCTATGAGGGCATATTTCTGTGTGGGCTTTTTTCCTGTGAACATTTATACTTATGAGCATTATTCTGTGAGCACTTTTCCTGTAGGCATTTTTCCAGTCACCTTTGTATTGATTCACTATAAATGGTGAATCACTTTTTAAATTGTTGCCACCAAATATTAGAGCCCTGTATTATACAGTCAAAAGTCGTTAATTCGGACTCGTCGGGACTTCGGCGATTCCGGATTATCGATTTTTCCGGATTATAGATCATCAGTTTAAATCTCGTAAGATGGCATGCAGAAATTCTAAAATTTAAAAATATGAAACCGTAATTTAATTTATGAAATAAAGAACAATTATGATCTAAAGGGTATCAAAATTTGCAAAAAGAAAAAGCTTAATATTTATTTGTTTACTTTATTAAACATTTCTTTCAATGTAAGTTGTTTAAGTTTTGCTTCGTTTCATGTGATAATATTTCTCTTTAATTCTATTAAACAGACATAATTTCTTGTTCAGTTACAAAGTTCCGCCGTTCAAGTCCTATAATTGCTGTGTCAAGAACACCGAATAATTTGTCAATCGAAATTTTTTTGTTTTCAATAACCTCTGTCACTTTTTCTTCGCTATCGGAAGCGAATTATAATGACGAGGAACTTGTTTTAAATCATATCAAAGACGGAGCATATCGAGATGAAATACTACATTTGGTAAGGAATTATAAGCCAAATAAAATAAAAACATCTGCGTTGAAGATAAGGATAGTGCTGACAAATCAACTTCCAATTCATTAGGCGCCCGCCGTCGAGCAGCGTGAAATTGATAAACAGATTTCGGATTTCAAAACATACTTTCGCTTTAGATTCTTTACATATTAACAAATATCTATCGGAAATTCTATTTGATATAATCGAAAGTTTAAGCTTACTTTTATAGCATTGCTCTTACAGTCTGCAAAAAATAATAAGCCGGATGCAATTCGAAAATTAAGGAACAACGCAATCATCAACATTAACTGAAATAGATAATTAGATAATTTTAGCTTATACGTCCATTATACATAAAATGTGCACGCGAAAACGTATTCTGCACTTGCGCACACTCATATGCGCAGTTGTAAAAGGTCTTACGCGCACACGTGAACGCCTCTGCGCATGTGTCAACGTGGCGCATGCGCAGAAAGTTTTTAGTTTTGATGTCCGAATTATAGATCATTCCGAATTATGGGTGTCCGAATTAACGACTTTTGACTGTATTTAAAGAAATGAAATAATGAAAAATCTGCATAAATGAATGTATGTTTCTCGCACTGTGATAAAACAGCAGTACCTAGAGCCACCAAATTTTGATTAACGTATATCTCCACCCAAATATGGGCATCTGGTAGCCCAAATTTGGAATTTGTTATCTGTTTCATAATTTGTAAAGCATTTATGAGTTTTCGATTAAGAAACTCAATGTTTTCAAAGCGAGCAATAGAAACACTGTATGGGGTGGGTGGGAATGATCTCTAGCATGCAGGACTGTGTACTGGAAATTCTAAAGATATGCTCATTTTAAGTTATTTTGTGATATTGCTGTTGAACTGAATTTTATGGTTTAACATGATATTTAATAAATAAAGGTAACACATAAAACGTTAAAAACAATATAATATAAAATCTGAAAGCTTTCAGTTTTAACAAACTTTTTAATGATTTTATAAGTCATTTTATTTATATATTTATTTTTGTTCCTCTTTCCTGATGGTCTACTGTAGGCTCCGACACTTTTAATTTTAGAAATTAATCCTTGCTATCAGCAACCTAGTAATGTGTCCTCAAGAGCCAGAAAATGCTCTGAATTAAACTCCCCAAACCTTCCTTTAAATACTACAGTCAAAAGTCGTTAATTCGGACACCCATAATCCGGAATGATCTATAATCCGGACCTCAAAGCTACAAACTTTCTGCGCATGCGTCGCGTTGACGCATGCGCGTAAGACCTTTACCGCTGCTAATTTGCGTGTGCGCGTGCGCAAAATACGTTTACGAATGCGCGTTTAACGTATAACGGACGGGATAAGCTAAGCTAAAATTATCTAATTATCTATTTCAGTTAATGTTGTAGATTGCGTTGTTCCTTAATCTTCGAATTGGATCCGGATTATTATTTTTTGCAGACTGTTAGAGCAATTTTATAAAAGTACGCTTGAACTTTCGATTATGTCAAATAGAATTTCCGATATATATTTACTAATATGTAAAGGATATACAAAGCGAAAGTATCTTTCGGAGTCCATTAAACAAAAAGTGGAATTGCTGCAAAAAATGGATAAAGTTTATCTAAACTTTAATGTTTGTTCATCTAAACTTTGTTTATCTTTAACGCCGCGGCGGCGTGCATGAATTGGAAGTTGATCTGTCAGCACTATCCTTATCTTCAGGGCAGATGTTTTTATTTTATTTGGCTTATAATTGCTTACTCAATGTAGTATTTCATCTCGCCTTTGATATGATTTAAATCAAATTCCTCGTCATTATAATTCGCTTCCGATAGCGAAGAAAGAAAGTGACAAAGGTTACTGAAAACGAAAAAATTTCGATTGACAAATTAGTCGGTATTCTCGACACAGCAATTATAGGACTTGAACAGCGGAACTTTGTAACTGAACAAGAAATTATGTCTGTTTATAGAATTAAAGAGAATGTATTATCACATAAAAAACGAAGCAACTTAAACAACTTACATTGAAAGAAACGTTAAATAAAGTAAACAAATAAATATTAAGCTTTCCTTTTTTTGTAAATTTTGATACCCTTTAGATCATAATTGTTCTTTATTTCGTAAATTACGGTTTCATATTTTTAATTTTATAATTTCTGCATGCCATTTTACCAGATTTAAACTGATGATCTATAATCCGGAAAAATCGATAATCCGGAATCGCCGAAGTCCCGATGAGTCCGGATTAACGACTTTTGACTGTACATCTTTTCTACCTCATTTACCTTCTGGTAGGGAAACAGAAACACGGAGTGACAATAAAGATCAAAAACATAAAATAACTGGCTTGTGAAAAATAATAGTAGTAACCCTAGATTATTATTTTTAAAAAATTCCTAGAAAAAGAAAATTTATTAGGAGGAAATGTGAAACTTGGCTAATCACAGTAACCCTGCAGTTATTTCTGCATTTTACATCATATGCATTATTAAGATGTCTTTTGAATTGACAAATAATGTGCAGGACATTAAAAAATTTTCCAGTTTGGAGATAAACTTACCTTTGAACTTCTCTGACTTTGCTGACTACATAAAGAACTTAAACTACTTGCACTATCACATCTTTCCAAAGTTTTGGACTTTCCACTTTCTTCATTTTGATTAGATAAATCATTCTTCAGAGAAGAAGGCTGCCTAAAAGGTTATACAAAACAATATTTATTTATAATTAAAATAAATTTATAACTAAAAATGGAGTGATAATTGGAAAATTTTGGGTATTTATAGCAATATGCACTTTTATATCATTATTATCAAATAACACATACTAAATACATAAGCTATTAAATAATATGAATTTTTTAACTTCAGTGCTATTTAATACATTTATTTTTTAAGAATTTTATTATTAATTACTATACTTCATTTTAAGGCTATCTGTAAAGAGAAAAGGGAGCTATTTTAGATAAAATAAAGTATTTTGAAGTTACAGGGGGAAATTTGAAGTTTCTAAAAACACAGTATTAAAAAAATTTTGTTCCCCAAACATTGCCCATATTAGCCTTGCTTTCAGGATCATGGTTTGGTTTGGTTTGGTTTATTGATTCATCATAGCACAACACAGAACTTGAAAATTACGGCAAAGCACACTAGGATCATCTGAATAGGGGGAGAGATGCCTTTGCAGAGGACTTTCTAAAAGAAACTGATTTGTATACTTATTACAAGATCATGTTCTGTTGCACTGATTAATTATTTCTAGAAACACATTATGCCATTCTTATTGCCGATAAAAATCTGCCAACCTTGAATTCCAGATTGTTTGGAAAAAATACAGCCAACTCTGTAGATTCAAAATGAGTATCAACTAAACTCTTAAAAAAAAAAAAAAAAAAAAAAAGAAAAGAAAAGAAAGAAAAGAAAAGAAAAGAAAAAGAAAAAGAGAGAGGTAAAACATTAACCTTTTAATCACCAAATGTGAACTTCCTGACAAACTGTGGTAGTCATGCAAATCATACAAACATGTACTTTGACAACTTCTTAAATTGCACAATACAAAATTAAGCATGCAGAGTATGATTCATCATAGCACAACCCAGAACTTGAAAATTAAAAAGCAGATATTACAAGTTCACTGATGCAAACAAAAACACTCTTTTCCTCTAGATAGTAATAATTTTCAAAATGTTTGTGTTTCATGATATGATGACAAGAGTGCATCAGAGTTTGATTTGAGAATCGTGATATTAAGACACAATAACACGCCGAATAAGTACTAATTCACAAGTCAAACAACAAAAATCAGCGTTAATTTTCAAAAATTTTTTTTTTAATTTTTCACAGGACTAGTTTTGATGGTTTTGCCGAACCACTGTTCTCAGCTGCAAAATTCAGTGAATCCTAGTGCAAATGGTTCGGTAAAACCATCGAAACTAGTTCTGTGAAAAATTTTTTAAAAAAAGTTCGAAAATTAATGCTGATTTTTGTTGTTTGACTTGTGAATTAATCATGATATTGTTCATTAATAAGCAATGCCAATATAGTAGGACAAGATTAATCACCTGTAAAAAGGGTTTGTTTAAAATGTGAAAAAGGGGTTGATAGATCATCATATGGATATCTTGGGCACATTCCATCAATATGTTTGTCTCACAGCTATACAATAGGAGTCTAGACCTTCTATGACACAAGAAGTGGAAGCTGAATAGTCGTAGCCGGTATCCATATTGGACCTCTATTGTAATTAGAAATTGGATTTCTCTTTTACAGAATTCTTATTTGAAAAGAATTTTTATTGGTCATTAGTTGCCATACAAGGTTAAGATTTATATTGTCCAGACATACCTTTAATATTTAATGAATTAATAACTCCAATCCTATGGGAAAATCACTCTGTTTATTTTCTAGTTTTCTGACACAGTAATTTTAAAGACTTTTTTGCAGAGTGTGCCAATCTCTCAGCCTAACTGTTTTTCCACAAGTGATATAGCACTGTAAAAACTTATCTAATTGGATTTCTTTATAAGTAAGGAAGGAAATTCTTCTCAAGAAAACTGTATGCTGTATGAAGAAAACTTAGGCAATAACATCAGGAATACCTAACAGCAGTTCTCTCTTCTAATGACTTAATGTCAATGCTGTATGCTTAAACTTCCAGCTATTCTGTAAAAGAATCGACAGCAATTTAGAAATTTTGACCATAAAATTGTTAACAATAGAGATATGTTTTTATGACTATTTGCTAAGAGTGAAACAGGGCTCTAGATGTATTGCACCTAGATTCTTGGCTGATATTGCAACCTTTAACCTCAGCTACTGTATCAAAATCGATATTGTCCTCCAATGTAAGAACATGAGAGTGCTTTCATTAATTACAGTTCTTCAGAAAACTGTGTAAAGTCGTCAGAACAGTTTTTTTTCCCCCATTTATCGCAGTCTATTATAATTTCTTTCAAAGACATAGCCTTTATAAGAATATCATCAAAATAAGAAATATTGCCATTTTGCTTGCCAAGTATGCTATCAATAAGATTTTGAACTAATAGGGGAGCAGCTTTAAATTTCATATTGCAAACGTATAACCTTAGAAATTCTTCTGGGTGCAATAGTAGCCTGAGCTTCAGCAGATTAATCATTAACTAAGAGCTGAAGATAGGCTTGAGGAAAATTAGTTTTTCTATAGTAAGTACCTTAAATTAGGTAATAATTAATGTGCACTGTAAACAGGAAAGAGCTGATTTTTACTTGAAAGTAGTCTCCCCCCAAACTGATAAAGAGTTAATAATTTTAGTAAAATGTAACAGTTTTATACCTTAATTTTAAAGTATAAATTGCAAAGTTAGTGAAGCATCATGGAAATAATTTTGATAAAGCTGTGGAATTATTTTTAGTAGTTAGAATATTATAAATTGGATCAGTGCATAAGCAGTTTAAGGGAAAAAAGTAGATGTAAATGATCTGGTAAATTTAGATATACACAATGTTAAAAAGCAAGTTGCAGAATCATATAAATTGGGTAAAAACATGAAAATACTTTTACTATATTTTGCAGGCAATACAGGTCTGTTTATGATGTTTTGAAATTTATTTTAAATTACAAGATACCCACTGTAACACATTAATAAACAAATTGAAAAAAGATTTTAATTAGTCCAAACTTTATATGCTTTACTTTCTTTGCTCATTAATATGTAAGAAAACTTCACAAAACATTATTCAACAGAAATCCTATGGTAGTCCTTACACAGAAAAGAAGCAGTTCAACATTTAAGATAACTCAAGAACAATAAAAAGGTAATAAATTCTTCAAATAGCATTTACTAAGCAAGCAAATTTTAGGAACTCCTCATAATCTATTAATGAATCCAATATCTGATTAAGGATACAATATCTGAATCTATGGATTTGCAGCTTTTTTTTTTTTTGTGTGTGTGTGAAAAATGAGAAAAATTTTATTCTGAGAGTATGGTTAATGCTTCCCGTATATTCAGTTTTTTCATAGCAAAGCATGTGAATGGTCCTGTATCTTAATTCCACTTTGATACTGAATAAAAGACCTCCATGTTGGAGAAATACATTCATTTATTAGCATAAACCTTTTTATCAGGAGCATTGATTAATCACCAGTTGACAAAGGAACTTAAGCTTACTGAACAAGATGTAACACACTGGTCTCATTATATTGCACAAAAATTGAAAAATAGTTTCTATCTTGATAATCACATTACCAGTGTAGAAGAGAAATCAAAACTTGAAGCCTTTATAACCAGGGCCGGCAGAAGCGGGCCCGCAAGGCCTTCTTTGCAGGTGGGCGCAGACCAGCGAACGACACAGTAACTTATCGGGGAAGAAGAAAAATTTTCCTTGAATGCTTACACAGGACAGAGACCATGGGAGTTCGCACCCCTCCTAACAGAAGGTGTTAGGAGGTGTTGCCCCTCCCCACGTTTCCTCTCCAGCTCATCCATCAATGCCTTGTCACCCATCCGTCAATCGTCAGGGATAGTATCATACAAAGAAGTTCGAGTTGGGAATTCACGCTGTGAGCAAGTTTAAATCTAGGTAATACTGTCCTTACACCAACTACATACACAGACGTTGTTCATTACTCACAATGACCCTTCTGCGCATCTGGTACCAGATAACGGTCATTTTCCACGTGTCTAGAAAGCCACGTGTTATGTATCATCTACACATTCCATTTTCGCATTTACTGAGTCACTGAGTGGTTGGCTAAGAAAATTTTCGATGCAGAATAACCTTACTACTATTGGAAAAGAAAAGTTCATTTGATGAAGTACGTTCTTATTTTATTTTACTTAATATAATTTCTATTTATCCTTATTTTATCATTTTTTTATATTTTTATTTAAAATGTATACAGTGAAATACGGCTTTTATTTTTTCCTTGAAAATTTCTGTGAGGGTGGAAAGGGGGGAACGGATTAGCCCTTTCTATCAGGGAAAATTTGCCATTTTGCCATATGTAAGAATGAACACAGGCACCAACTTTTCATTTTCTTCCCGGGAGTTGGAGGGGAGGGCAAGATTTGCATGGACGAAAACGCAAAAGTCAAAAAAAAAAAAAGGGAGGGCATGATGAAAATTATGGCTGAAAATTGGGCCATGTATACTGAAAGGTTGAGAAACACTGGGTTGAGGTAAGACTTAGCTAGTGTTTTTGGAGAGAGAGCTTTGGTGGTCATTGTACACAGAGCCCTTGGCAAGCATTAAGTTTGACCCATCACACGGTCAAACATTTCCTTATCGTTTGTTGGAAAAGATGCTAATACTTCCCAACTGCTCGAAAAAGTTATCATAAAGTTTATTTTTTTCATAGCTTTATTTTTTTTATTTTTATTTTTTTTTTACTTTTCATCTTTATTCTATATATTTAGCAGATGTTATGGTTTATTTGTAAAAGAAAGATTAGATATTTAAAATTTAGAATTGAATTTTTAAATTTCAGTGTGAAATTTTGATAACATAGAAACAAAGAAGAAATCATCCGGTGCACAGAATCGTAAACGCAAAGCTGAGAAAGATGCTGCTCTTCAGAAACAGGCAGACGCAATGTCTCATTTCATAAAGAAGATGAAGACTTCTTCGGGCGTAAATGATGCTCACACTGAATCAGCATCAGAATCAATTACAAAGGAACAGACAACATCCAGCCAAAGAACATCAGCTGCATTGGATGAAGTTATTGAAAGGACTGGTGAAACTCCAAAGGAAGGGAAAGATGATCCAAGCATGGAATTAAATAAATCGTTAGTTAGAGATTATCCAGGCAATTCGATGTGGAAGAGACTAGCATAAATGAAAATTCCCTTTCTTTATATTGATTTTGATGATCCTGCAAAGTGGCCAACTCTTAGCAACAAAGTGAGATGACTTTGTCTGAAATGGGACTTATTCAAAGGAAAGGTTTAATGTATCCGAAAAGTAATAATGGACGTAAATTTAGTGATAACATATTATAACAGAAAAATGGAAAACGGAAAAGTAGTTCCCCGTATATGGCTATTATATTCTATAAGTACAAATTCTGTTTTTTGCTTCTGTTGCAAGATATTTGCATCGGCTGACAGTAGTAGCCTCGTAAAAGGCTATAATGATTGGCTAAATATATCTAAAGCCTTGCATAGGTATGAGATTAGTAGAGCACATATGAAAAATTTCTTAAAATGGAAAGAGCTTGAGAAAAATTTGAAAAATAAAACAATTGATTCCCAAACACAAGAGATGTATGAAAAGGAAGGGAAAAAAATTGGTCAAATGTCTTAGGGAGACTGACTGAGATCACAAAATTTCTTGGCAGCCAGAATTTAGCCTTTCGAGGCTAATCTGATGTGCTGTACCAAAAAGACAATGGAAATTTCTTAAAATTAGTGGAATTGTTTGCAAAATTCGACCCTGTTATGGAATTTCACATAGAAAGAGTATTATGACCTAAAGGTAGCAACAGCAAAGTTCATTATCATTTGTTCATTTGACAAAGATAGTCAAAATGAAATGCTGCAAATTATTGGCAGTAGTATAAGAGAGAAAATCTTACTATGTCTTCGAAAAGCCAAGTATTATTCTATACTTTTAAACTGTACTCCCGATATTAGCAAAAATGAACAGATGAGTGCCGTCATACGTTTTGTTCTTTGCAAGTGATAGAGTTGGGACAGAAATCAAGGAACATTTTTTAGGCTTTATTAAAGTTGATGATTCTACAAGGTAACGGGCTATGTGAGACAGTCAATGGAAATGTTGAAAATGCGGAACATTCCCCTTGATGATATGAGAGGCCAGGGATATGACAACGACAGCAAATATGAAAGGGAAGAAAAATGGTCTTTAAAAATAAGTATCTTAAAAGTAAACCCTCGTGCGTTTTATGTTCCTTGTGCCGCTCATAGCTTAAATTTAATGATTAACGATGCAGCAAAAGGTGAATGCAGATACAGTTAGTTTTTAGTTTATTTTTTTTCCGACAATTCAAGAATTATACAATTTATTTTCTTCTTCTACTAAGCGATGGGCAGTTCTTCTTTTGAAAAACGTTTCCCTGTTTAACCTTAAAACCCCTCTCAAACACTCGATGGGAAAGCAAAATTGAAGCTATTCGACCTTTAAGATATCAACTAGAAGAAATCTATGATGCTCTCTTTGAAATATCCGAAGATGAATGCTTTTCAAACGAAGTGAAACATGAAGCACGAAGTCTGTGTACCAAAATCAAAGATTATAAATTTATTTGTTCCTTGATAGTTTGGCACGATTTGCTTAACAGAATTAATCCTGTCAGCAAACAATTGCAAGCAAAGGGTTTGAGTGTTACACTAGCCTTAAAGGCAATAAGTAATTTAAAAACATTCATTGAAGAATATAGAAGTGATATCAATTACAAAAGTATTCTTGAGAAAGCCAAAGAACTTAGTGAAGAAGTGGATGGCGAGCCACAATTTAAAACTGTTGAAGAAGTCCGAAGAAGGAAAAAGAAATGTCACTTCGATTACGAACATGCTGATGAATCCCCTCAATTTCCAGAAGAGAAGTTTAGGGCCAATGTCTTTTTTAGAATTTTGGATACTGCTTGGACATCATTAAGCGAAAGATTTGATTGCAATGAAAAAATCACTGCGATAATTTTAGTTTCCTGGGTAATTTCTCAGAAATCGATAACGCAAATTTGAAAATAAAATGTGATAAATTAGAAAAATTGTTACAGTGTGGTGACAATAAAGATATTAACGCAGAAGAAATCTATGATGAAATAGTAGCTTCAAAAGACATTTTTACAGCCGGTATGAATGACCCATTCGATATTTTGAACTTAATTGTGTCAAATAATTTGTGAACTTGAAGATCGTACTGAGAATACTACTTAGCATTCCTGTTAGTTTTGCTAGTAGCGAAAGATCATTCTCCAAATTAAAATTGGTCAAGACATATTTACGTCCAAGTATATCGCAGGAAAGACTCATAAATTTAGCTTTGATTGCCATTGAAAATGAAATCTGTCAAGAACTAGATGCAAAAGAAATTATAGAAAAATTTGTAAATATGAAATGCAGAAAAATAAATTATTCTCAATAAATTGTTAAAATCAATTTCAACAAATGCTTTCTTCAAAACTTTTTCTCCTATACAAAAATTTAGAAAAAAAGGGGGGGGCGACTTCAGCTATTTTGCAGGCTGGCGACGGATAACCTTGTGGCGGCGCTGTTTATAACAGAATGAACTGAAACTATGAAAGAAGCTGAATTTGATTTGAAAGGTTGGGAACACAGCAGTAGGCACTTGTCTACTTGAAGCTAACAAATAAAACAATTTAAAATTATTATAGGACAGAAAAAAATGAAAACCTAGAGATTAGTCCAGAAGGTTTAGCTTTTAGAGAATATGAAATGGTAACTAAAAGAAAAATCTTGTCGGCCCTTAATCAAGTTTTTGATCCCATAGGATCTGCATGCCCCGTTATGTTTTGTTCTAAATTTCTATTGCAGTCTATGTGGAAGACAAAGGAGACTTGAGAAGCTGAAGTAAATAATAATGTAAAAAATTAACCACATTAATCTAAAGATACCCATGATTTAGTGACAGCAATGAGGTTAAATTAAGTTTCTGTTCTTTCTGTGATACCAGTCAACTACAGTATGCTGCCACAATATTCATAAGATGTGGAACAGTGGCTAAATTCCCAATGGTGGAAGAAAAATGATAGGTGCTAAGTTCATGGGAAAACTCTGCTGGAGTCTCAATTGCAAAAAAATTTTTGTGACTGTGAAGATATCATCAGCACTCAACCTTTAACTTAGATTTTCAATGATCCAAGTAATCTAGTTTCCTCGACTCCTAATAGGATCCTGAATGATAGTGAAGATGTGGGAGTACTTTGATCTAAGCTTAGTAAACGCTCAAGACCTCAATAAACATTTGAGCAAGATTAAGATTGAAAGAGTAGCTACAACAAAGACCTCAGGATGAATACTTAGGTCTATACTTAGGTCAATAGTAAGAGTAATAGAGCTCATTGCAAGGCATACTGGTAAAGTTAAAATTGTGCATGTCAAAATGGCATTGGACATAATGTTATGACAAAGTCAATGAATTTGTCCATTGGAAATTGTTGCACATCAATATATTGCCGAATCAATAAAAAATTAATTAAAGTTCAAAAGTAATGAAAATTAAAAGACCACAGAGGACATAATATAACTTGGTGAGACCTTTCAAAAATAATCTGCATGTGGTTGTAATAGTAAAACTTTTAAGAGATTGAACTTATATATTTATTATTAGCAAAAAATCATACTAATGTATAGAACTCATACTTAAAATGTTGAGTGCAGTGCCGGTTCATCGGGACCAGCAGTGAACTTTCAGTGTGACCAGCGGCGAATTTTTGTCTGGCTGCCGTCGGTCCACAAGACCGACAGTATTAAAGTTAAAAAATAAATATAGTCTCAATGAAATGTGATCAAATTTTGTTTTAATGAAATGTATTGAAACATTCTAAACAAAAATACGGCTTAGCTCGCTGCCAGCTGAATGGAAAAGACAGCAAATTCGACGCCACGCTCAACGTGTTAAGATACATTAAATATGACTTTTATATTTTAAGTTTAACCCCCCCCCAGAAATAGACTTTTTTAACATTAAAATTGATGTTTATTTCTTTGAAATAACTTGAGGTGGGAGAATGTTAGTTATTAGTAAGCCACACCATTCTAGCCAGTATTTACCTAGTGCAGATTGGCAACAGTGCTCACCTCTCAAATGAGCAATATGTAAACAAACTAATTTTGTACCTGCAAATGTAAATAAAGTTGCTTTCTTAAATAAAGTTATAAATAATAATTTCTTAAATAAAGTTTCTGTAAATAAAATAGTTTTCTTGTTATAAGAAAGTTACATTCTTGCCATTTTCCATGTAATTTACTTAGTATAAGCTATTGCTGTTAAATCTTTACAGCTTAATATTTGAAAATAGATTTAGTAAACTATATTCCAAGTTATTTTTTTAATTAAATAAATTAAAATTGACTATAAAGTTAAAGGATTTGCATCATTGCATTATTTGGAAATAGTAGTTTATGTTTATTTATGTGAATTCTTTCCAGTTTACCTCTTAAACACTGAAAGCAAACATGTCAAAAGAAAATAGGGGGAAAATAAATGAAAAATATATACTCACTCCTTCAGCTTCCTCTCTTCAGTGACCCGGGAAGATATTTTGGGCTTTTTTCTTGAAAACTTATTCTCCTCATTTTCACTCTTCCTCTTCTTGGGTAGTTTATTTTCAGAATCATCACAAATTGTTTTGTCAGAAGTAACTTTAATACTGTTTTTACTGGTTACACTGGAAGCAGGATTAGACTTGGATGCTGATAAAGGTTCACTGACAGGTTTAGAATTCTTTTCTTTTTTATTTACTGAAATATTCTTGCTGTTATTACGATTATTTTTTAAAGGGGGAACTGTCCTGGGTTTATCTTTGTAATCTTTTGACTGAATAGTTTTGTTCTGAATACTTTTTGATGCCTTTTCTTGTGGTAAATTTTCCTTCTTTGCTTCATCAACTGCGGAACGCAGAGAAGATCGAGCTTTAGAAGCCTGCTTGTTTTCTGCTTCTTGAGCTTTCAAAACAGATGGAAGCCTAGAAAGTTTCTCTAAAGGAATGCTGACCATAATTTTCATTGGAATGGCACATTCTGATACACTAGGAATAGGAGAGTCTTGTGGAATGGGAGATATAATTTGTGGAGGCGGCTCCATACGGATTGGAAGATTTGCAATTTTATCTTTTACCTTCATTGCATTTTTAGAAATTTTGCGGTTAGGCTTGGTTTTCTGACGAGGAGCAGAGGAAGACTCAGCCTGAGCAATAGTTGATGCTCTTTCACTACATCGTACCGAACGACGAAGCTTTTCCACATTTTTAACTTTTTCAACATTTTTTGAACTGGACCTACCAGGGCTTTTAGAAGCTCTAGAAGGAGTCGGTGCAGGTCGCTTTAATGGCTGGGTTACAGTCTGTTTATACTCGGGAATAGGTGATCTTTCTGGACTAGGAGAAAAGACAGGTGGTACATTAGAAACTCTTTCACTTTCATTCTGACTAAATGAAGGACTCTGCAAGAAATTTTCGATGGCAAATTTTTTCTTTTTCTTTTTGGCTTCAGTTTTCTTGACTTCAGGTGGTGGCTGCTTTGTAGGTGGCTGCTTTATAGGTGGCTGCTTTATAGGTGGCTGCTTTGCAGGTGGCTGCTTTGCAGGTGGCTGCTTTGCAGGTGGCTGCTTTGCAGGTGGCTGCTTTGTAGGTGGCTTTGGAACTTTACTTTTCACTTTTGAAGAATTTTTTGATGCATTTTTAATGACAGCTGTTTTTTCTTTACTTTTCTCAGAATTACACATGCTGTCCTTCAGTTCCAGTTTTGAACGACGTTTAGTTTCTTCATTCTGATCTATTTTAGTGCCAGTAACAGTAACTTTTGGCTTATTTTGTTTACTTTCATTTGATATTCTACATGCTCTAGTAGGATGCTTAAATTTTGGGGCAGCTGATGATTTTGTAGAAGGAACTGCTTTTAGACCATTTCCACTATTATTTTCAGCACTGACAGTTTTACTTTTTCTTCCAGAAGAAGATGATGATGATGCAGAGGGTTTTTGTGGAGTTTTCATAGTAAAATTTTCATGGGATGATTCAGAAATTTCTGAAGGTATAGAACTAGAAGGTATAGAACTAGAAGGTGTCAGATTATTTCCTGGTACACCTTCCTTTTCTTTGTTAGAGGAGGAATCAGGGAGTTCTTTTGAGGCACACGGTTCAGTACTATCCAAATGAACTAAAGGAGATGACTGGATTTTAGGACTGCACACTTCAACTTTGCTTTTAGCAACACGTTGTTGTTTCCTACATTTATCACCTTGTCCCTTTCCTTTATCATCTTTCACATCAGATCTTCCTTGAACAGCCTCCACCTGTTGTTGAGAGGTTTGGGAAACTGGCTGCATCACATCAATAGAGGCTTTTTCTTCTTGATTATTTTCAGATTGGATTTCAACCCCATTTACCTCAGATGCATCTTCTTTTGTAGAATATGATGGGGTAGGAGGAGTACGTGGTCCTCGAACAACTGGCGGTGCTGAAGGTGCTGGAGGTGCTGGTGGTGCAGTATGCACTGGAGAAGGTATAGGACTTATTATATCACTTTTTATATTCCCTGGAGTATCAAGCTCTAAAAGGTCAGATATAGGATTTGGCATACTACTATAAAAAAATAAATAAAAATAATAATTAGAATGAAGTAAACTAACTTAGTACACTTATAAAATAAGGAATCTTGATAATGATTTTCTTACTCACCCAGCTAAGTAATCCTTGAGATCATCATTGTACCCACGAAGAATTCCAGCCACAGATTCGTCATCAACTAAGCTAAAGGATTCTTTCTCTTCAGTGGGAGGAAGCAAGGGTGGTTCTTTTATGGCAGTATCACTGTTAGTTTTGGCATTGCATGGTGTAAAGACGGCTGGGGTTTGGTTTCTCCGGGTTTCACCAAAGAAATTGGACAAGCCCCACATTTGAAGAGGGGCCTATTAAAAAAATTTGGTTTAATATAAGCAAGAAATATAAAGGAAATATACATCCACAAGTTCATAAATAAAATTAAAATTCTATAAACTACTCATTAAAAGTTTCCCTGCAAAAGCTGGCTTGAATGAAAAATTAGAGGAATGCATTCTCTTCTAAATATTATACAGTCAAAAGTCTTTAATCCAGACCTCAAAACTACAAACTTTCTGCGCATGTATAAACGCATAATACCTTTACACATGCGCATAATACGTTTACACATGCACATTTAATGTATAACGAACGGTATAAGCTAAGCTAAAATTATCTAATTATCTATTTCAGTTAATGTTGCAGATTGCGTTGTTCCTTAATCTTCGAATTGGATTCGGCTTATTTTTTGCAGACTGTTAGAGCAATTTCATAAAAAGTAAGCTTGGACTTTCGATTATGTCAAAAAGAGTTTCCAATTCTGGAGCTGCCAAAGGATCTACAAAGCAAAAGCATGTTTTGACGTCCATTAAACAAAAAGTGGAATTGCTGCAAAAATTGTATAAAGGCATGAAGAAAGTGACAGAGGGGTGATTTGTTTCTGTAACCATTCCGAAATCTGTTTATCAATTTTACGCTGCTCTGCGCGGGGGGGGGGGGGGCGGACGTGGTGGCGCACAATGAACTGGAAGTTATCTGTCAGCACTATCCTCATCTTCAGGACAGATGTTTTTTTATTTTATTTGGCTTATAATTCCTCACTAAATGTAGTGTTTCATCTCGATGTACTCCAACATAATTTAAATCAATTTCCTCGTCATTATAAATATCAAGAATACACATCAAATAATTTTCTTCTGGTTGCAATTTTCTAATTTCGACTAAGGGTAATGTATGCTTTACGCATGCGCACGTTGAAAGAAATGTTTTTAATAAGTAAACAATTTAAGCTTTTTTTTTTTTGTAAATTTTGAATACCCTTTAGATCATATTGCTATTTTTTCATAAATTACGGTATCATATTTTAATTTTATAACTTTCTTCTGCATGCCTCTTACCAGATTTAAACTGATGATCTATAATCCGGAAAAACCGATAATCCGGAATCGCCGAAGTCCCGACGAGTCCGGATTAAAGACTTTTGACTGTATTACATTAGCTCAAAAAATCACACTAACTCATTAAACTTAAGTTTTAAAATAAGATAAAATAGTTTAAAACTGGAGTAAAGGGCCCATACTGGGGGGGGGACATACATTAGCTTTTAACTTATGTGATAAAACGGTGAAAAATATATACACAAATTAAAACAATCATCACTGTTTCCTCAAACAAGACATACCAGTGAATTTTGTTCCCAAATTTTGTTGCATGCAATAAAAAGCTAACTCATCCTCTTATTTATGTTCATATCATAAATAAAAAAGTATTATAAATATTTTTGTGAGCATCTAACTATGTTTTAAGTGCTGTTAAACTTGACACATTAAAATAATATTAAATATATTTTATTAAGATTATTCCCCATAAAATATATAAAAGAAATTATTACTTAAATGAAAAGTCATAGCATAAAGTATTAGAACTAAATCCTATACAATATTTATGAGATATTAATTAGCTTTGAAATAAATACAACAAAATAGTCAGCTGTAACAAGTTTAAAAATTATCAGTTTTAAGTTATTTCTTTAATATTTTAAAAATAAAAACTGATGTTCTGAAAAATCAAATAATAAGTTATTTTAAAATTTAATGGTGAGCAGAATTTCAAACAATACATATAATAGAGTCAGAGTAAATATGAAAAAGAGAGGAAGAAAAATTCAACACTTTGCATCATTAACTATTCATTATAAAACTGTTACCAATACATTATACAAACAAGTAATGTATGGAAAATACATGCAATAGAAGACTGGTAATTTACTATTGAAACAATCAACAATGACACACTCTTTTACCAATCTATAAATGTTCATGATATGAAATATTTTTAAAGATCATCGATGAATATGCACTTCTACTTTTTTTTAATTTTCAGTTCGTGGACACAAAATGATTAAAAATTGTGATTTTAGTATAGTCCTACTATATATATGCTCCAACCAACAAATGCATGGCTGTGTATAACTAAGACTATAGAATAAACATGTAAATGCTGTTAATATCAGGGCTAAAGGGCTGGTTCTTTGGCTTCTAGCACCTGAAGCCGGAAGTAGAGACTGGTGACGTAGCTGAATTCGCTTGCTATTCTTTTGCTTTGAGTGTGATATTCAGCCTTAAGTTTCATTAAGTATTTAACTGAAAATCAAAAAGCTTTGAAGAATCATATACAGTACAAAGTCCGTAATCCGGACTCATCGGGACTTTGGTGATTCCGGATTAAGGGTTTTTCTGGATTATAGATCATCAATTTAAATCCTGGTAAGATGGTATGCATAAATTATACAATTAAAATTATGAAACTATAATTTATGAAATAAAGAGCAATTATGATCTAAAAGGTATCAAAATTTACAAAAAAAAAAGCTTAACATTTATTTGTTATTAAACATTTCTTTCAATGTAAGTTGTATAAGTTTCTTCGTTTTTTGTGCTAAACGCGCATGCGTAAAGCATACAAAAAAAGTAGTTTGTGGCTTTGAGGTCCGGATTATAGATCTTTCCGGATAATGGATGTCTGGATTACAGATTTTGTACTGTAGTAGATAATATAAGTCAAGATTTTTAGGTCATGAAATTGCATATATTTATATCTGAGCTAGTGATTCATTTTCTTCACAATAACTTTTTAAATATATGTAAATAGTAACCCCATTAACAATAAATATTCATAAATGAATTTATGAAGACTTCCTTTTATGTTAAACCATAAATGTTTGCACAAATAATGCTTTTGATGTTAGTCACAAAATATCCCATAATGGGAAAATTAAATAAAAATATGCAAGCACATTTTCAGAGTATATGGTAGAAAGGCCTTTTTTATCTACTTGATTAAAAAATAATTAAAGCTAATAATAACTTTCACAATATATTAAACCAAAACAAATTTCGCTTTTTTTACTTTTATGTTTCAATTAGTACTTCGAACGGGTCAATCAGATTTTCTGTACATTATTATTATGCAACATCTTTATTCATTATCATGGATTATCAGCATTATTATGCTAAATTATGCATGTTTAAATATATTCTTATATATAAAAAGTACATATTCTGATGATAATTTATTTTTATGCAGAGTTTCACTCATTCCATTTTTCTCATATTAGCTTTCCCTTTCCTTTTAATTTTTTTTATTCTAAAGAGGCGTTAGCACAGAAGGGCTATTTGTCTCAAAACCGGCATTTTGCATCAAATTTTTTTAAATGCCTTATCTCTTTTCAAATTGTTGCCCCCAAATATTATCATCCTATATTATATTTAAAGAAATTAAATAATGAAGAATCTATGTATCTATGTTTCTCACACTGTGAAAAAATGACAGTACCTAGACACATCAAATTTTGAATAATGTAGTCCTCCACAAGAACTTGGTCACCTGGAAGCCTGAAGTTCGTTGAATAATTTTGAATTTGTTTTATTATCTATTTCATATTTTTTAAGATTTTACAAATTTTCAATGAAGAAATTGAATGACTTCAAAGCGAGTAGTGGCAACACACTGTATGAAATAAAATATTTTTATCTCCAGCGCATGAGATTGTTTATCGGATATACTAAAGATATGCTGGTTTTAAATATTGTTAGCCGAAATGCACCTGAAACTTGTACGTATGTGTAATGAAAAAAAAAAAAAAAAAAAAAGGCACCCCTTTGGGAGTAATATAAAATCTGAAAGCTTTCAGATGTTAAAATTTTTATTTATTTATTTACTGAGCAATAATTTTTAAATGCTATTTTCTCTCAGTTTGCTAAAAAAATGTCTTCTGTGTGGTCTAAAAAAATGTCAGTAGGTGAGGTGACGAACCCGGTGACATCACATGACATCCAGTATGCTCTTAAAGAGGGTTTGTGTCAGCATCGTTACCCTCAATGGGATGACCCAACTCTTCTTTTTCTTTAGCCCTGGTTAATATACAATTTTCCTATTCTAATCAACCTGAAATGGTTTCTGGAAAGAATAACTGGTACCATTGTTGCAAATGTGTCTATAGATAATGACTGACCAAAATTTATTTTTTAAAATTTTATTACAAATATAGAGATGCGTTTATAATCTCTCATTGCAAACAGACAAGTTAAGAAGACAAAAGTTTTCAGGTCAGGCAATATAACTGCAGACTAGTAATCTTAATCTTCTCCATGTAATTTATTATATAAATATTATGTAGACATCCATACAAAAAAATTCTAAACCTGAAGAATTTAAGAGAAGCTAGAAGTCATTCATAACTTTGAAATCAACATGATTTTTTAACCTTTAATACAATATCATGAACAAAAAAATTTTCAATAGTCTAAATTTCTGAAAGCACAAAAAAAAAAAAAAACACTAAGCATAAAAGATATATATATATATATATATATAAGAACATTATAAACTGAAAATTTTTAAATTCCAAAATTTAAAAAATAATAAGCAGGAAAAATACATACATTGTTACATGGTGTATCAGAGTCATCCGATTCGCTTGAAGCACTCGAATCTGAATCATTTGACTCTGAACTACTATCATCTGAATCACTATCTCCACTTTCTGAACTAGAGGACTCTGCAGGCACAGCAGGCGGCACTTCCATGTTGGTACTATTATTAGGAGCAACAGTAGAACTATTATTAACAGTGGCAGTGGTAGTCACAGGTGACCTGAAAATATATTAAAAAAAAGTTTCAAAAGGCTAAATTAACTACACGTTATAAATCATACATTTTCTGATAAATAATAAAGAATACGAATAATTTTTCATAAAAATTTTTGGAAGCTGTACAACATGAACTTTATAAAAGCTACAACTTGCTTGCAAGTACTCCAAAAATTACCGATCTGTAAAAAGTTAAAAGCTCATTAAACCTGCTTTACAGAATATGTCAACTTTCATTTTTCTCGCCTTACATTTACTGAAAGTAAAGTGATTATGTCTTTCAGGCATGAACTGTCTGACACTGATGTTCAATATTATGTTTTTTTTTTTCAGCAATACAGCACTAGGTACTGTTTTCAGCAATACAGCACCAGATCTTTTGCTAATTGAATATGTATGAGATATGGAAGGCCCCCCAGCACCTTCAAAATGTCACAGATCTGGAGCAAAAATAGAGAAATAGCTGGCAGAATATAATGCAGGATGAGATTATCACTTTATCATTTATTATTAAGATTATCACTATGTAAATTTACCACTCCTTACCTCAATGTTTACAACATGCATCGCTGCCAGGGGAGTTTTACCAGCTACTGATTTCAACATTTAATGTGCAATAGGCATTGATGGGTCCCATTGCCTTGAATATTTACTCAGTTCACTATCTCTGTATGAGCTTTGCACACATTTAATTTCAATAAAAAGAGTCACTTTCTTCATGGTGCTTTTGACTCCCAAACGAATGCACATTTAAGTCACAAATTAATTGATATTTTAATGCAATAGAAAAAAGAATTATGTTTTTAACATTTTGAACTTAAAACATTCAGCAGGAAAATTTTGAAAACAATGTGAAGCATACTACAAATAAAATATGCTTTAAATTTCAGAAATTCAAAAACAAAATTTATATTCTTAGATAATATATAATAAAACTCACTTTAAGTATCCAGCTGGAGTATTTTTCACTTCTTGAACCTATAAATCAAATTATGTATTATATCAAATTTCCGGAATAAATAATAAAATGCAAAATAATCTAACATGCCTTATAACAAATTAAACTTATGTTTAGGTATAAACTCTAAGTTCATGTTCAGCATAGCCATACACAATATATAAAATAAAGATTGCAAGAAAAATACCATAATTAAAAAATTAAAAATGTTCTGCAACAATAAACTCAGACTTTGCTTTCTCTACAGTTCATCTTTACAATACATGAGTGCCGCCAATTTAAAAATATTCACTGCCGATCTTGCTATTAAATATAGTAAAGTTTTAAAAAAAGTACAAATTCACACGTCAAACTGAATGTCTTAAATTCACAATTCTTATGCAAAATATAGAAATTGCACCTCTTCTTAATATTCAACATGCTCATAATGATTAAGGTTTAATTCACTTTTTCCCAAATATCAATGTTGCTTTTCGAATATTTCTTCTTCCTGTTTTCTTTTGCAAGAAAAGTTTTAGCGTGTTGAAATTAATAAAAAAATTGTTTTAAGATCAACTATCATACAAGAATGATTATCCAATATTTCTATTATTTCAATAGAATATAATATCATTACAAATGTTAACTAAGATGACATAATTTTTGAATTTATGTTAATTATGATGAATTTTTTTAATTTTGACATTTATTTCAGAATGTCAGAAATGTGCAATTCAAAAAAATCATATGAAAAATTTATTTTAATATATTTGTTTAATTATTTTCCCAAATTTAATAACTTGACCTAAAAGTAAATTCTTGCATAAGGCACAGGGACGGTAGTCATGATGTGGCATTAAGTCAATGCAAAACTAATATAGTAGAAATAAGCTGGCAAAATATAATGAATGACTGTACAAAATATCTTTAATATTCAGTTATAATCCTGTTACTTAATTTGATCATTTAATTATTAATAAAAAGGTGTCATGATCACAATAAACTTGAACTTTTATTTTAGCATTTAACTGGACACTTTTAAAGCATCTATTTAAACAATGCCTGCCATGCGGATCACCGGTGGCATGCACTCAACTTGGCAACAGTGCTGTGGGGGTCACCAGTGAGGCGACCAATAGTAAAAACACACAATTACAGTAAATATTGATATTGGTAAATTTTTAGCTAGTACCATAGTAACTATAATGTTTTGGAAAGTAATAAATCACAAAAATAGCCTACAGTGCCTCAAGGGTCACCATTGACAATCACCATGGGATTGGGATTATTCAATTATGGCAAAGCACACAAGGGCTATCTGCCTAAAGGAAGGGATGGCTTCGTGGAGGACTTTCTAAGGGAAACTGGCTAGTATACAAGTTACACATGGGGAAAACCATGAAACCGCCCATTCGCAGGATTCGAACCTCGGACCAAACTACCAGTGTTCAGGGTCTTCACCGCTCAGCCGCTGGTGGGCGACAACCACCATGAAAAATGCATTAAACACAATTACATTTCAACATAATATACATTACATAATGAAAAATTCACACTGGCTCCATATGCAAATGACATAAAAAGCGCATGGCAGTCAACATGTTAATCAGAATTTTCTTTCCTTTTAAGAAAAGAGTTTGGTTTTAGTTCAGCTTGTGATAATTATTCCATATTTGAAGACATTTTCTAAAAAATAGCCTTTTTAGAAAGTAAAATCATTTGCTGAATATATTTTCTTCCAGTTACAAAAATGTCCTATTCAATTATCTTAGCTCCATATTCTGATACATAAAGGGTCATCAAAAACAAATGCAAGCTTTTAAAAATGTATTTCTACAAAGCTGTTACACACTTAGAAATGGATCAAGTATGAAAGTTTGGCAAAATAATATACAGTCAAAAGTCTTTAATCCGGACGTCCATAATCCGGAATGATCTATAATCCGGACCTCAAAACTACAAACATTCTACGCATGCGTAAACGCGTAATACGTTTATGCATGCGTGTTTAATGTATAACGGACGGTATAAGCTAAGCTAAAATTACCTATTTAAGTTAATGTTGCAGATTGCATTGTTCCTTAATCTTCTAATTGGATCCGGCTTATTATTTTTTGCAGACTGTTAGAGCAATTTTATAAAAGTAAGCTTGAACTTTCGATTATGTCAAAAAGAATTTCCGATTCTGGAGCTGCCAAAGGATCTACAAAGCGAAGGCATGTTTCGATGTCCATCAAACAAAAAGTGGAATTGCTGCAAAAAATGGATAAAGGCATATCCTTTGTTTCTCTAACCATTCCGAAATCTGTTTATCAATTTCACGCTGCTCTGCGGGGGGGGGGGACATCGCGGCGCGCAATGAACTGGAAGTTGATCTGTCAGCACTATCCTTATCTTCAGGGCAGATGTTTTTATTTTATTCGGCTTATAATTCCTTACTAAATGTAGTATTTCATCTCGATGTACTCCGTCTTTGATATGATTTAAATCAAATTCCTCGTCATTATAAATATCACGAATACACATCAAATAGTTTTCTGGTTGCAATTTTCTAATTTCGACTATGCGTAATGTATGCTTTACGCATACTTGCGTTGAAAGAAATGTTTAATAAAGTAAACAAATAAATATTAAGCTTTTTTTTTTTTGTAAATTTTGATGGCCTTTAGATCATAATTGCTCTTTATTTCATAAATTACGGTTTCATATTTTGAATTTTATAATTTCTGCATGCCATCTTACCAGATTTAAATTGACGATCTATAATCCAGAAAAACCGATAATCCGGAATCGTCGAAGTCCCGACAAGTTCGGATTAAAGAATTTTGACTGTAGTTTCGAAGAATGTGGACTATAAACATGAATAAGAAGTCAAAAATGTAGATCAAAAGTGGTGAACCAAATGTTTTTACTGCTGCTGGAAAGCTATAGGCTTGCATTGCAGCACAGAACAGGCTCTCCATCCCCCAGAAGATGCAGTCTTCTCCCAAATAACTTATTTTGCAGGATTTTTTTTCTGTTTTATCTCTTTAATCAGTTATTACAAAGAGTACCAGGGCTATTTTTTTAAGGGAAGGAGAGCCTTTGTGGAAAACATTTTGATAACAACTGGCTCACATTCCTGTCACACATGGAGAAAACGGCCCAATATTTTGCAGGAATCAGTCAAGAAGAGTATATACAAGCAAAATGTCCATAAACCACATCAAGATGACTAAAGGCAACACTCATCGCAATTGCATAATTCAACAGCCTTGTAACAAAATGCAGTTTTGAGGTCTGTTGTGTGAAAACAGATTCAAATATTACTACCTTTTAAAGTAAAACAAAACTTTCAGACTTAACAGTTGAATTATTTCAGTACGTTTAGCGGTTTTAGAACAATATGCTTTTATAAACGAAGGTATTCTTTTTCGATACACAGGTACACAACGCAAAAAAAAGAGGCGGACAGGTCTGTATCTCCCGTTCTACTGGGCCGATTGACAAAATTCAAATTGCGTTTTTCATGTCTCGAAAGCGCGACTTAGGATATATATTAGATTTATATATAGCATTGTTCTAACATAGGTATTTTGACACAAAATCGGACTTATGAAATAACATACCAATTTTTTCCGTATTTCGATTCTACAACTCAAATTATTCCTAGATATTAAATTTTGTAAAATTTGGCACAAAATTTACAGAAAAATTCAAAAATTTATCTTGGCGCAATTTGTTCAGTTTGCGCCAAGAATAATTCACTTGGCGAACTTCTTAATATATGGCAACCAATTTTACTTTTTCTTCCATTATGCCGGAGCGGAAAAAGCCCCTCCTTCTTACCTTTTTACATTGTGCATGAGAGAAGAACAAAAAACCACATCGTTCCTACTTTCAAATAATTTTAGCAAAGTGTCTAAACCACATTTGATATTTTATCGCTTTAAACAATATGCCAATTTTCAAAACGCACCAATATATAAAGTCTATACCTTCGGAAATTTTCAATAAAAAAACTGTAATTTTTTGCAGATATGCTTAGAAATACGTCTACTTTAAGATGATGGTAAAAATTTTATAGAATATAATTAATTTTTTTGAAAAATTTTAAAAATCATTTAAAATACGAATTTTAAAATAAATCATAAAAAATGGGTGATTTTTATTTGGGATGAACCTGAATTTCAAATGTGAAAGAAAGAATCAAATAAATTTAATAAAAAAAGAGAGATTAATAAATATATACCACACTCAATTAACATTGAGGAGCTAAAATTTTTAGAGCTATTTTTCAAAAAACTACTCGTGTGATTTTTTTACAAAACTTGGTAGTTTGGCGTAATTTGAGTCGTAGAATGGAAATATGGAAAAAAATCGGTATGTTATTTCAGAAAAGTCAGATTTTGTGTCGAAATACATATATTATAACAATGCTATATATAAATCTAACACACATCCTAATTGCGCTTTCGAGAGATAAAAAATGCAAGTTGAATTTCGTCAATAGGCCTAGTAGAACGGGAGATATAAACTTTTTTTTTCCCCGCAGCAAATGACATGAGAGCATTATCGGGCTATGATTTTCTACGATTTTAAAGTAAGCTACACAAAGAATACCTTCAACATCTATAACTGGCAGATGGAAAAGGAGCTCCATCTCATGCCACTATATTCAAATTGTTTACAGAATTTTGTAGAAGTAGAAATTTTCTCTTGGTTGAAGAACATACAAGAAGTCCTACTAGTCCCGAGAAATTTCATGTGTCGGTCACATGAAAAATTTCAGTTACTGATAATCGTTGCACCTACCAAATTACACAGAAGGAAATTGACACTGGATCCACACCTATACATAAAATTAATCGTGAACCACTATATATGAAAAAATAAGTTTGTCGTTAAGTCCCCAATAAACTAAGAATACAAAAAACAGGAGCATGTCAGAATCAATAAAGAAACCCTAAAATTACTCAATGATGGTGGTCACTAAATTACTTCTAAAATCATAACTGGCGATAAAATGTACACAGCACAAAAAAACAAATGGGACAGTTATATCTTCCGTTCTACTGGGCCGATTGACGAAATTCAACTTGATTTTGACACAAAATCGGACTTTTCCTGAAATTTTCCTGCGCGAAAGATTTGGTATCTTTGTATCATTTAGCTGAGTCTCAAAAATTACACTGCGACCTTCGTATATATTATCAAATTAGTATTTTACTTTTAATGTTTGTTTTCTCATGTCTAAAATCGAGATCTTCTGTTTCAGTTCTTGTAAAACACCTGAGGGTACTTAAAAATAAGAGCAAATTATAAATTTTTTCACAGATAATTCAGGAACTGAATTGAATTATTTGATTATCATAAAGTCGACTACAGCTAAGGGAGTATATGTCTTCATGGAAAACCTTCTAAGCGAAACTGGCTCGTATTCATGTTACACATGAGAAAAGCCAGGAAAACGTCTGTGCAGCCAGCCCATTTGCGAGGATTTTAATCTAGTCGAAAGACCAGCATTCAACATTTTTAATCAATCACCTACATGTTGATGATAAGGATAGGTCTAAATATGCTTATTTCTAAATTGATATTCCTTGTTCAATGCATTGGCTTCTTGGTTACCTCACAAATAGGCGCATTTATGTGTAGCTGCAGCCAAGACTGCAGTACTTCTTCAGTGCATTCTTAATTGCAATTATCACTCCAAAAGTCTGAAAATATCATTATAAAGTCCAAGCACATAATAATTGGAGATGGCAAAGTCTGTGCTGTAGGGTCTCCAAAGCCTACCTGCTCATACATACGGCCTACATCATTCAGAAATCATGGCGTAAGACTTTTCCAGTTTCCAAACTATAGCACAGATATACACTGGTGTGCAAAAATCAAGGACGAGACGGTTTTTTTCAATATAACTTTGTACAAAAGCTTTCCAAATCAACACATTTAATACCGTAAGATCCCCAATACGTAAGGACATGAGTAATGTAAGCAACACTTACTAAAAGAGAAATCAAGAGGGATAAAAAGAAGCTTTATTGAAAAAGTAGCATGGAGCGCAACGCGACTGAAGGCCGGAAACATCCCTGTGATGGGTGTCCAGCAAGAAACATCCGGTCTTTAATAGGGGATATGATCTCCCCTGACTGCTAGGGAGGTTTTACAGCGTCTGCCCATGCTGAGAATGAGGGTGTCAATGAGTTGTTGAGGCATTGCTGCCCATTCGTCTTGCAGCGCCAATCGAAGCTTCGGAATCGTTACTGGTGGTAAGGTACGAGCTGCCAAGCGTCTGCCTAGAAAATCCCATACATGCTCGATGGGATTGAGATCCGGAGATCGTGCCGGCCAATCCATACGTTCAATATCCTCACTCTCTAAGAGCTGTCGGCAGCTACTGTGCGATGACATGGTGCATTGTCGTCCATGAAAAAGGAACTGCGGACCCATAGCGCCTCTAAAAAGACGCACATATGGAAGAAGAATCTCGTTACAATACGGGTCCAGTTGGACTGAACCTGCGTCGAAGATGTGAAGGTCTGTACGACTACCAAGCATGATGCCTCCCCCAAACGAGAACAAACCGCCACCTCCATACCTGTCACTTTCAATGATGTTCGAGGGATGATTGCGGCTTCCCCGCTCTCTCCAGATGAGTATGCAATGAGAATCGCTACTCAGACTGAATCTGCTCTCATCTGTAAAGAGTACTCGTCCCCATTCATTGTCTCTCCAATTCCGGTGTTCCCGGCACCACAGAGAACGCCTTCTCCGATGGGCAGGCGTTAGAGGTACACACCGTACAGGGCGTCGTGCAAACAGACCACCACCGTGCAGTCTTCTGGCCACGGTAAAACGCGATATCGGTCGTCCAGTCGCCTGTGTCGTGTGTCTAGCGATTTTTTCCGCTGTCTGCCGCCTGTTTCTTCTGGCCTGTAAGGCAATATACCGGTCATCTATGGGTGTGGTTCCTCGTGGACGACCACTACTAAACCCCCGGATAGCTGTTCCTGTAATTTGAAATTGTCTCCAAAGTCGTGAAACGATGCTGTGAGCAATTCCGAACTCTGCATCCACACTTGTTACACTGCGGCTTTCCTCCAACTCCCCAATGATTCGACCTCGGGTAAAAGCATCCAGATGTCGTCTAACAGATTGATTATTCGCCATTTCTCGCTGAGGCAGCAACTCGGTGTGATTTTAACTGCTATACGGCGTGCAATCTCTTTGCCAGAAATACTGATCTTACACCGACAACATGCTTTATACTACTCAGACACTCCCCCATTACGTCTACCTGCATATCTACGCATGTGCTACCGTACATCACCTTACTTAATCTCCTGATTGGTCTTTCTGTCCGCTCTGCCTCTTCGTTCAGCTGATATGCTAATTTTTCGACTTCGTCCTTAATTTTTGCACACCAGTGTAGTTTCTTTCAGCTGCTTTCGAGTCCATTAACATTTGCTTTAAGAGAATTTCAAACTGATACGAAATGAGAAAACTCTGCATTTCTGGCTGCAAACATAATCATATTTTTAATTTAATGCAATTAAGAATTAAATAGAATTATAGTCAGGGAAGAATATACAAATAAATAAATAAATAAATAAATAATAAACCATAATATATCTAATATGGTGTAAAAACCATAATATATCTATCAATTTATATATTTCATCACTTTTTGAAACACTTCACATATAGGCATCTGACTCACTTGAAACAGCTGAAAGAATTAACTGCTGTTAGCATAAAAAGTGCTGAATTAATTTTACATCAGAGTTTTCGGGAAATCAATTCAACTTTCAGTGATTAAACAAAACAAAGCAAAGTTTGTGCTTTAGATATGCATTTCAAAAGACACAACTAATGCAGCCATACTACTTTTGATAAACTTTATTTTTCCGCCAACATGAATGTTTAGTTTAAATTACTACATTTTCTCCAGTACCCATTAACATGCTTTTAACTTCATCCTTCGTCCATAGAAATTTCATTCACTTCAAAGTAAATCACAAAAACTTAGATGCTAGCTGACTGGTAGACTTTAACCAGCATTGTCATTGCATATAGTTAGCACTTTTATTCAAACACTTATGGAAAATTTCAACACTCACGTTTGTCTATGAATGGATTTTTTTTCGATGGTCAGTAATTATAGTTTAAATTAAGCAATTATTTTTCAAAATGCAGACGCTCTGGACGGAACAGTGGTTAGTAGAAGCTGAAGGTTAATTGCCAATCCGAAATCATGGGTGGCAGTTCCCATGTATGGCTTGTCTAAATGCGCGTATCCTTTTCCCCACCTTCGCGGGTGAGATATCCATCTGTCACCTATAGTATACTCTAGGCAATGTTCTCTGTGATCAGACGGCTAAAAGACAGATGGGTTCACACATTCCGGAAGAACTATATCCCACAGAATATCCAGCCATATTGTAAAAAGCCTTGAGAATAAAGAGAATTGAAACCTTTCAATTCCTGTGAAACCTTTTGATAGCTGAAATGGAGTACAGCGAAGAAGAAATTACCATTCATTTTAGATGGAAAACGTTTTACCTACATCTCCAAAGAAATCTATTAAACTCTACATAACAGTTTTTAAAATCTATAATAATGTTAAAAGAAATAATTACATGACAAACATATAATCCATATATAATAAGAGTGTGTAAGTATGTATATATATGCAAGTTCATTTTCCAAAACTGAGAAATGAGCAAGCACATTTAAAGATTAAAAGTTAGTGGTAGCAACAGTAATGAGTTAAGATGAATCGTCAGAGAGAGATAGTAGGGCAGAAGGCTTAAGGTGGATGGACAAAGCATGAAAATGATAACATCATTTATTAATAACTTATCATTTTCACGCCTTGTATCCATCAAATCGCTGCGCCTGCCTGGTCCAAAGTAGCAGTTGAGATCTGCCATTTGCTCTAGGTTATGCCAATGGCTTGAAGGCAGATATTATGCCTGAATGCGAAACCTGAAACTTTCCCCCCCCCAGCCTCGCAGGTTTTTACAACCTGCCTTGCAGGCAACTAAAAGATCCTGCAAAAAAGCCCTGACACCTGTGTTCTAGTTCAAAACAAAGACATGCTTTTCTGCAATCATTTCTTAGAACAAAAACTAATATTTTTGCTTTTTGTCATTTTCGTAAAAGCTAAAAATCCTCTCCATATTTCTTTTCTTCAATGGAAAAATGTACTAGGTCAGATCTGTCATCAAAACGAAGTGATAAAAATGAACATTGGTAAAGCAGGGAAGCGGTGACAGATTCATTTAATTCGCCGGAAAGTGCTATTACCACAATTATAGGTGAAAATGGTGACAAATTTCAGTGTTTGTTGAGTTACCAAATATTATATAGAAATGACCGGCTTTAACATTTTCAGTGGCCTGGGCGATAAATGTAGTTGGGACGCCATATAAATTAAACACATTTATTTTATTGCTGCTTGGAAGAACAACTTGGATGGAACCCTTTCAAAGTCGGCGCCCTAGGCAGCTCCATACGTCACTTATGTTTGGAATCGATCCTGCAAATAAAGATAGTACAATCGCAAGAATTTTTCTCTTCATTATGCCGAAGTAACTATTCCAGCAGATAAAGATGTGACTCAACACCAAAAAGTAACATTCAAACGTCCAACAGAAAAAGCTTAACTAAATACTCTCAAAAACAGGAACAGGCAAATGATGAACTGCTAGGATATAATGTCGTTGAATTCGAAAATATTCTAAAACATAAATAAATGTATTTTATATTATACGCGAAAAGCATATAAAATCACCCCATATCCTCTACTACTTTTAAAAGCATGTGTGAAAAATTAATTTCCAGAGACTATGTCATCTAAAATGCCCTTTTTATAAATTCAGTAAACATGAGCACATGATTCACATTACATAAACCAACAACTCTTAACCAGAAGATGAAATTTTACAAATAATATTGGAAAGAAAACTTACCGGTTCCTCATCACTGTCACTCATCTCCAAATCTTCCTGGAGTGAAGAAGAGATATATCTGAAAGAAAACAGAAAAAAACATCAGTTAGTAATTCAACTCTACATTATAAAAACGTAAACAAAAAATTATGAAGACTGAGTAGTATTGTTGTTGTTGCGGCTAAGCTCACTTGTCTGAGCTAATAACTACAAGCCCACGAATTTTATCGTGACAAAGAGTACAAGATTACGTCTGGCGTTGGCAAAGACGTTTCGTCTGGCAAAGTAAATGCAATTCTTATGCACCATACAGGTGACAGCACGACTTTGACCATTTCACCTCAGTTTTGAGAGACAGCCCCCAGGGCAGCGCTCCGAGGGTTTCCTACCCTTCTTTCCCTACCACGAAACCATACGAGAGGTCCTTCAGCTCACCATATATTTCAAGTGCCCCCATGCCGCCAAGAAAATATAAATTTAGAATATCCATGCCCCCTTCTCCGGGATTCCAGCCCGCGCACTTCGGTACGGTAGTCAGAGTCACTAACCACTATCCCGTTGAGCGGCTAGATCGGGTACCGATTAATATGATGAGATATTTTTAATGTAGTTAATACAGCTTTAAGCAAAGGAATAAATGTAACTTAAAATGCTTTACTGTGACAGTTAACTTATGCAATAAATGATAACTTGATATTAAAAAAGAAATGAAATAATCTTAAAGATTGATACTTTAAGATTTAGAATTGCATGCATCATTACTTTTCAATACTTTAGAAATATATTTCTCAAAGAAAACGCAGCATTGCTCATGACACCAATTTTTTTTAGTCCAAAGGAGCTTTGTCCCTGAAGGACTATTGTTTTCGTTTTGCGATTTTGCGTTGAATTACTATAAATGTCCGTTTCACTTTTCAAGCTGTTGCCACAAAATGTCCTGCATTATATTTGAAGAAATTAAATAATGAAAAATCTGCATAAATGTATGTACATTTATCGCATTGTGATAAACAACGGTACATAGGCCATCAAATTTTGAATGAGTATCCTACTGCGAATATGAGCTGTGGAAGCCCCAAATTTGAAATTTGTTTTATTGTCGATTTCATATTTTGTAAAACTTTAACGAATTTTTTAGTAATAAACTCAACGATTTGACAGCGAGCAATGGCAACAATCTACAGGTTGGGGGGGGGGACCTTTTTGTCTCCAGCGCGAGTAACTGTGTATTGGAAATTCTAAAGATAGGCTCATTTTAAAATTATTTTGCGACATTGCTATTGAACTGAAATTTACAGTTTAAGTGCGAACAACATGATATTTAATAAATAAAGGTAACACACAAAACATTAAAAAAAAAAAAAAAAAAAGCCGATTTGAACGCAATTTAAATCTAACCTTTCAGTTTTATTATTTTATTATTTTTATTTTTTATTTATTTATTTATTTTTAAGTAGAGCTTCAAAATGGAGTAAGTTTAAAAAAAACATAAGAAAATATTCATCATTCTCGAGGCGATTAAAAACGAAGATGGCAGTTTCAAAGAATGATAATTTATTTAAATTAGTTTCTTTCATTCTGACAACTTAAAAAAATATTTGAATTTTCAGTCACCTACTGTTGACCTCACTCGTTAATGAAAGGAAGCAGATCATCGGTAAAAGAAATCAAAGCTTTCTTCAGTGTTTGCAACTCTTAGAAAATCGATAATGGATCTTTTAAAAAATATTACTGCCAGACGATAATTTTTTCAGAAAACAGTAGATATCACAAAACGTAATTAAGTATAAATGCCAAGAAAATAAAAACCATATTAAGCAAAAGAAATTACAGGTATTTTACTACGTATTTTATTCTGCTGATTTCATAAAGATTAAACCATTAATAAGACACCAAATAAATTACCTAGACTTCGTTATTTTTAGCGATGCGCAAGGTCAGTCATCGCAATTTTTGGCTCCGTGGTGAAAATCACTGAACCGCTAACTTACACGCAACCTGGGACTGGGCCAAAAACAGGATTCAGCAAAAACAAAGATCTATGAAAATACACGCTCAGAAATTTCTTTTACTACACCTTCATAATATAGTGATTTCTTCCGGTTGAAGACATATGTAATTAAGAATCCGAGAGACCTATGCGTGAATTCAAAGGCTAAAGCCTTCAACAACAAACTTAAACCTTTATTACAAAACTCTCATACACTGAAAGCCAGTAAAAGTTAATTTTTAGAAAAAAATAGATATGTAAAAAGTTTTTTAAACTAGTAGGCTTTGAGAATTTTCTTAAATTAAAAAGAATATCAAGAGTACACCAGGCCTTGCCTTTTATCATGAAAGCAACAATAATAATGAACTGATAACTAGAGTGAAGCTAATTTTTAAAAAAATGAACAATTAACTAATATAAAATGGCTATATGTAAGCTATTTTCTTCAATTTTCTGCGATCGGTTACATCACAAACTTCTGAGACATTGAGAAAATCGTCACTCAAGCACCGAATAAAGGCTAACAGGAGTAAGCTAATTCACTATATATGCTTGATGATATAAACGATGTTCTGAACGAATACAAGTTCAATACCTTAAGAAAAAATTCACTGAGCTTTACTTTTGACAGCGGCACGCATTGATATACAATGTTTAGGATGAGAACAGTATTCAGCAGCAAAACTCTCTCAGACAATTGTAATAACAACATCCAACAAGGTGAATTTCAAGAGTTGATAACAATTCTCTCCTGTAAGAAAATAAGTCTAACAAATTCGCAGTAAAATTGAGCAAATAACAAAGTACTCAAAATATTCGGCATTGAATGGCAAGAACAATTTGGGAAATGAAGCTGCTTCCAAAGTTGGTGTGAGCAAAGCGTTAAAAATAAATAAACGACATAAAGAATCAAAGTTTATAAACCTCCCATATATTAAAAGCATAAAGCATTCAAAATGTTCCTTAAGTCCCTAATCTAGCTGAAGGTGCTTTAAAAGTCTGTCGTAAAAGATAAAGTTTATATTTTGAAAAACATATTTTCTAAATGATATTGTTTAATAAGCATAAGTAGACTCAGTAGTGATATTAATATCCCTCAAATCAGGAAGAGATTCCTACATAAAAACTGGGCAACACTATCTTCTTTCAAACATATTGTTCATATTGATCATGGATTATTTAAGTAAAGTTTGGCATTACTAGACAATCTCATTTACTTTCTTAATCCTTTGCGATTAAGGATTGCACTTTATAATAATGTTCAATATGGACATAATACGAATTTCTGACACGCACCAAGACCAGCTTTCGTCAGAGTCATATAGCATAATTCTGAAATTAATAATAAACAAAGGTTTACAATCAATATATTTTTATTGTATTCGGTGTTATTCATATTAACTGCATGATGAGAGGCACTATTATTTTTAGGCTGTGTAATTTAAACTAAAGTATTTAAGAAGGCTCACAAAACCTACTTTCGTATTAAGCACAGGGCACAATGAGTCCTCGATTCTCTGATAATACGGAAACTATTACAGGAAAAGCAAATTTAAAATACTTCAAATAAATATAAGTCTTGCAATAAAAGTCTGGGAACTCAACTGAGAGGCAGACATAATTAAGTTCTCAATCAAAGAACTAAATTAAAAGGTAGTTTTTCAAATATCCGATGTGCACGTAGTGTTAATAAAGTATGTATTCAACAAGCCAATGAATAAGGTGGAACACACGACGACTATCAATTTCAGAAAACATGATTTTTCAGACAATAATGTTAAGAATGGCAAAAGAATGAAAAACATGAAATCGTCCTGTCCTATCGGAAACTCAGCCGAGAAAAATTATGAGATTTCGACTTCATCCGCCCACTGACAAATTCAAATTGCATTTAAGAAGAAATGTATTTCATACCCATACTCCTTTATTTTGTCTTGGTAAGTCCACCTCATTATTTAAACCCAAGTAATTGCTGGGTAAACAAAGAGGATCCCAAGTAATTGCTGGGATCAATATGGAAATTTGCATCTAAAACCTCACTTGGAAGTTCAGGATATCAAACTGGAAGCAAGGATTGTAAGACGCATGAAGCTAAAATAGAGAATGATTCTGTGATCTCATAACTGCAACTAAACAATCCAGTTTCAACTAGAAGAAGACAAAAAAAGAAGAAGAAAAAAAACAGGAAATTGTTTTCACTGATGCGAAGTGAATGGACACGGGAAATGGATTTTCTCTCTTGCAGAAGTTGATCATCCATCTTTTTCTACCAACTCCTTTTCCCTGAAACGCCCGGTATGCGAAATAAATATCTTCAACAAACTATAAGATGATTATTTCGAAAGTATCATGAAACAATCATTTCATCTTATGGTATCCTATTTTTATATGTAGATTGTTAAAAAAAACATATTTTAAATTCATCGTATTTTCTAAACTAGGAGAAATTCAACGATATCCTCAAACTCAATAAACTAAATTCTGTATTCAACATAACAGCAATCTTCATGTTGAGTTTTCTAGCCAACTAGGCAGCAACTAATTTAATTTCGGTTATTAAATTTAACGTAACCGAATGATTAATTTTAGAGTAAATAGAAAAAACCTTTAGACACTGCACGTATACAATTGTGATCGCTCTCAGATTCTCAAGATTCAGGTTAACATTTTTTGGAGGGGGGAGGAGTCTTAAAATAAGCAAGCAAAAGGAATAAATAAATAAATCACACATTAAAAAAAAAATTCAAACTATTTTATCTTAACTCGGATAATTTTTAACAAGATATTCTAAAGCAGGATTTCTCATCCAGGATTCCGAAGAACTCTAGTATTGATCGAGAAATAGTAAAGAAAGGTTTATTTTATAATTAGGGATTCCCTGAGTCAAATTATTTCAAGATAAAAATGTTGAGAAATGCTGCTCTTAAATTTCGTACCCAGACAAGAATTTTGTAATCACACATTTGCAATAATAGGTCCCATGCATCAAAAAAAGATAAAAGATGTGAAAACTCGCACTTACTTCATAAACGTTTTAAATCATTGCCTGAAGACATGAAAAAAAAAATTGCTACCTTTTTTTAGAATAA